CCCCCCCCCCCCCCCGGTTATTTGTATAATTATACACCCTTTTTGGTCCATAAAGACAAATAGTTTAGTTAAAGGATCTGTTAAACTGAACTCTACTAAACCAATCTTCTTTGTATTTTCATACCCTGTAATTAGTACACACAGACAGACAGACAGTTAGATAGATAGATAGTACTTTAAATGATCATAGAACAGAAAATCAAAGAAAAAATTAAGTTTTTAAGATTTTATCTTATTAGTAGAGAGACAAACATTAACATAATAATGTAGAAATGGAGGATAGCCGATTGATGATTACAACTTTAAATGGATGAATGTAGATGGAAAAAGAAAGTAATAGCTCAGCTATATAATTAAACATAACAGCTAATTTTCTCTCCTATTAGATATTAGGTCTTTCATTTAGAAGGTTAGATATATAGATAGATGCACGACGAAGTTCAATTCCAAAATCCGTGGTTAGTTACAATAGTTATTAATTCCACCACCATGTTAGTAAACAACGTTGTTAGTAAATATGTTAACAATAGAAGCATCACATACCTGCAGGGCTTACACCACAGATTTTGTTGGTCCAGCCCGTATCTTGCGCGGCATTTCTTCATGGAAGCAGCTGAAATAGAAGATAAATAAATTCAAGATGGCGGAGAAAATAAAAAATGGCGTCCGATTAAAATTGCGCAAAATTAGTGTGAAATTGAGCTGAATATGCAAGGGGAGAGGAGTATGGGAGGTTTTTTCCACAAAATAGAAAAATATTACATTCAACATCTCAATGCATGCTGGAGGTAAAAAATTGGTGGGCTCTACGTATAAACCCCACCTTCTCCCGCCCCCCTTGCATACTGATTCCTATAAAATCATACAAATTGACAAAAGTTTTCCAAGAAATCCGCAAAAAAAATCCCGTGCAGAATTCAAACCAGGGCACTGGCCCATAATAATTTTCTCGTCAAAATATCCAGCTTCAAGTCAGGGGCGGAGTTAGGGATGGGGGGGGTCATAATCCCTCTTTAAGCCCCTTATAATTTTCGGGGTGGAAAATTTGCAAGGAATTTTCCAATATTAAATCTTAAAATATTCTGCTTAAATAATTGAAAATGGAGAATCGTTTAATTGATTTTATGAAGAGGGGGGGGGGGGGGTGAGTAAAATGCACAAATTTACTGCCTAAACCCCTGTATACACTTATTGCAGATCTAATGAAAAAAGGTGGAATTTTTCAATCTTGAAAAAACCAAATCGGCAAAATACAGGGGAGAACCAGTGCAGGAAATGGAGGAGGGGGTATTGCACATGAAAGGGGAGGGGTACAGTATTGTTCAAGGTACAAAGCATGAGTGGGAGGGGGTTAGTGCATAAAGGAAGTTAGAAAACGGTTATTTAAAGCACAATTCTTGAATGAAAAATGAGTAGGTTACCCAGAACTATATTTACACAATCTTCGAGTTCAGGAGAGGCTGAGGCCATAATAAACGAATACATACATTTCAAATTCGAAAAAATGTCAGGGTGTAGGACAGGTTTCATCAGATTAAAATGTTAATAACACCATCACCAATTTAGAACAAGATTAACAAAACCTAGACAATGGTTAAAAACTTTTAAACTTTTCCATCCCGAAAATCAAACCAAACCAAACCAAGAACACACATGTTCTACCTCCATCTTGTTTTTTATCAATCGATCGTCTTTTCTTTTTCCGTTTAGCATAATTGTCTCTGTATGGTTAAACTTAGCTCCTTAAATTGGAAAGGAAAAAAATTCCCCAAAACCCCAATTTTTCTTTTTATTCTATCACGGAGCTTTGTTTGCCTTGCAGTCCATTGGGGATATTTAGCATTATGTTCCAATCGCTCTTGTCGCGCCAATTCATAAAATCGCGCCTGATCTGCCCGCGCAAGCGAGTGCCACTAAAAAAGTACAAATTATTAGCTATATGTTTACCCGGATCATCGCTTTTATCGCGCTTTCGTTTCTTCTTCTTCTGTCCGTATCTATAGTTGTCGCGCGCGTTCCAATGTGGGTACATCTGCATGTGTCGCTGTCGTTCTTGTCGCGCTTTTTCGTAGTATTTAGCCTGTTCTTCCCGGGTCAACCCATGCCACTGGAAATTAGAAATATTAATCATTTTTATTATTATCACTGGAACCGGCAAAATCCTCCCAAAACTTGAATTTATAAATTTTACTATGATTTATATATTTTTTTTTCATCATTCTCCATCTGAAGATCTGAAAAAGTTTTAAATAAATTGTCAATACAAAACAAAAAATCTTTATTACAAGATTACAAGCAAACAGTAATATAAGAACAATGGACAATGACATGAATAGCGAAAGAAAAACTTACCCTACGTCCTAGAATTTGGTTGATTGCAGCTGATTCCTTGAGTGTACACTCGGCTTGTACAACGGGGCGCATTTCCTTCATGTACAGCATAAACGCGTTTAAGGGTTTCTTAATATGCGGCTCCTAAACACAGAAATTAATTGTTGTGTACAGTACAGTTGTTTACAAACAAGATAACCTATAGTTACGATTACAAGGAGCTTTAAGTTTTTTTTCTTTTTCCTATTTTTTATGAGATTGATCTGTTTTATAGCAATAGAAGTGGGTGGTAGTAGTAGTAGTTTTAGAAGGATTCCGCTTCAAAAAAAGCTGAGATGCTTATATTTTCGAAAATACTAATATCTAAAAGTTTGCTATTATAAATATTTTTAATTTGACAATTATACATTTGAACGATTTCACAAAAAGTTCATTTTGCGTTTTGTCTTTACATCCTATGCCAGAGTAAGACTTATGAACAATGTCTTAAAAGTTTGATAAAAATTCTAAATTCTTAAAAGAGCCTTTTAAAACCTTTGATGTTTAAAAAACGCATCTTTCTGAAAATTTTACCTTCTTTTTCGGACTCTCATGTTTATCTTGATCCCCCGGGTGATGAATCAGACCTGGAGGTCGATCATACTCCTGCTTGATATGAGGTAGGTGAGGGGAGAATCCGGGGGGAAATCCAAATCCTGAAAAACCAAAATCTGAAAATAAAAACAGTCAAAAAAGATTTTAAAAAGTAGATTTTAAAGGATTGAAATGGCAAAAAGTGAAGATTACTTCTTTATTTTTTCTTGAAACTTGAAACTAGTATGCCAGGCGTCTAATGTACATTTATCTTTGTGATAGTTTAAATAAATCAAGCAAAATTTGACTTAGCTGCCATTAAGACCTGATATAACACTAGAGGCATGTTTGGACTAATTGAGTCAACTTTAAAAATCAATCAATGACTTAACTCCGGTCTTATTTTGAACATTAAAGTTGGGACAAAGGGATTAAGACTCGAGACTAAGCTTGTCTCAAGACTGAACAAAGATAACACTCGAGACATATTCGGACAAAAGTCCGTTAATTACTCTTCAAGAAGGGTCTAATGCTGATCGCTAAAGTTGGGATTCGAGCAGAGTCGAGACTGAGTTTTTAAATTTTTTTTTAAAAGTTAAGATTCGAGGCATGTTCTTACTAAAAGAGTTCAATTTAAAAATAAAAGATAACTTCGAAAAAACTCATCCAGTCGGGTCTAACGTTGATCCCTAGAGTTGGGTCTGGGGGACTAAGACTCGAGAATAAATCTACCTGGATGAGGTGGTATAAGGCCCCCTCCAGGGGAGAACCTAGAGATAGGGGAGCTAAGGGAGGTAGGGGTTAAACCAGCCAGGGAGTAGGGGGACATTCCTCGCCCCTGGTAGTGCCATGCTGCCAGCTGATCCATACCTGATCATTGGTTAATTCATTTATTAAACAATTTGAATTAATCTTTTCATCCACATATCAATTCATCCTTTCATTGATTAATTGATTCGTTATTTCATTCTTTTATTTATTTGCCTATTTTTTCTTTTTTATTCATTTTATTATGCATATTTAATATTCATCCTTTCTTTAAAAAATTCATTCATAATCTTTAATCATCTTATTGAGCATTAAGTAAATTAATGATTGATTATCTTTTTTAATCTTGTTTTAAAATTTATTATTTGTCATTAAAATAAATTTTATGTTTTACCTATTGTTGGATAGGGATACTGGCTAGGTATAGGGTATAAAGAAGGTCTACTAAGGGATCCTAGGGACCCCATATGAGCAGGAGGAGGTGACCCTAAAGGGTCTAAAAATGGAGAAAGAGGAGACCCGCCTCTACTTGCCTGAAAAGTAAAAAGAATATTTAAAAAAGGTCTGTTTTGTCTAAACTTGAGTAAATATATCTTAAAGAAACTATCGTTGATACTCCGTTACAACAATATTGTAAAAGATATCGCTGCTGATATTCTAGCTTAAAAAGTGTTAAATTCGGACAATTTCCTCCATAGTTTCTGCAGCAAAAATCCGCAAATCAACCGTGTACATAATTACTATTATAATACATAATAATATCATAATTGATTTTCCAAGAGAAAAACGTGGATATCTAATTCATTCTTTAACAGACAACAAAGCTTTTAAGCATTCGGTTGGGAATCGGATATGCCACTCTGAAGTTGTAGGGTCACTTGAATTCCGTCTACAGTCCCTTTATGTACTTATTATATTTAGTGTACTGTATATGTTTTGTATTTAGTGTACTGTATATGTAATATATTTAGTGTACTGTATATGCAATATATTTAGTGTACTGTATATGTAATATATTTAGTGTACTGTATATGTAATATATTTAGTGTACTGCATATGTATATATTTAGTGTACTGTATATGTAATATATTTAGTGTACTGTATATGTTTTGTATTTAGTGTACTGTATATGTATTGTATTTATATAGATAGATAGATAGATATTTGTACCGGAAGACATGGAATTATTAAATTACATGTTTCTACACCTAAAATTGAAATTTATTATTTAATCAATCAAAATATAAATTTAGGAAAATGTTTTGATAAAAACCATCCGGAACTAAAACACTTGTTCATTGTTTACATAAACCTGAGAAAAATTTAAAAAACGAACATTTTTCCAGGAGGGTCGGAGAAAATACAAAAATACTATAAAAAAGAAAATTGTAAACAAATTTCAAGAGGTTGTTTTTTTAGATGACCACCTATATTTTCTCAATAAACATTTATTGGGAGAGAGGGCGGGGTTGATTTTCAGAAAAAGATTGAGAATGAATTTATTTGGGGGGGGGGGGATAGATTTTAAAAATAATATTTACCCCTGGTTGTATTAAATGGGTAATTTATCCCTCCCCTGATATCTACTATATAACTGGACACCTCTGCTACGCTACGTATTAAAGAATAATCAACCTGTAGTATTATACATTATCAGAGTAAAAGGACAAATTAGTCACGTTTTATTGCCTCTGTCTGTTTGTTTGATGTGTGTCCGTGATTATCTGTGTGTGTGTTTGTTCATTGTCCATCACTCCAATCTTGGTACGACTTTGCGATCTCGTGACATTTATATTTTTCAAAAATAGAAAAAGCAGTTGTGTTTATCCCTTACTCATGTTCCAAACATTTATAGATAGAGATAATTAAGTGAAATGCTAAGTGTTTTTTTTTTAAAAACAACAACATTTTTTTTACAATTTTTAATTATAATTTTTGTTCTGTTAAAAGTGAATAACCACCCCTGCTGAAATAACCAATAAATCAAAGAATTGTTAAATAATAAAAACTCACGCCCCGCTCAAATTTTAAAAGTGGCCCGGGGGAGGTTTTAAGAGCTCTGGCGTACAACAGAGGGTTCCTTAAAACGTGTCGACGTGTACACACTAACAGCACTTGATAACACGCAATTATCCCGGAATTTTTCAAACATGTCTTTAGATTGTCTCTCTTTAGTATTCAGACTTTTTCAGGACCGGCTCTAACAGATTTTAGGGATTTAAAAAGCATTCCCAAATTCCTCTCCTCTCTGCATACAATGCATCCAGGGCCTAAAAACATATGTTTACTTCAGCCCAACAATTTTATTGAGCATGTAGTTTTATTTAAAGATAAAAATGCGCGGCAATTATTATGCGCATGAGCGCGTGAATTTATGAGCATGACAGTGTGTGAGGCAGAGAGCAAAGAAATCTCAACCGCTCGATGCTTCAGTTCTGACACTTAACGGAAATCACCGTTTAACCTAAACTGATAAGATCTGTAAGAAACCAAACAGAGTTCTTGCCGCCATTTTAATTTGTAAAGAATCACGCAACCTCCGGAGAATGCCGCCAATCTTTACGGGAAAATCCGCGAGGAGAAACTCCGATCTCCCGCGTAAATCTACGGGGACTGCTTTAAGACCCCAGAAATGAAATAACAACAAAAAAGACAATAGTATTTAGATTATTTAAAGAAAAGTTATATAAAACAAATGATCAAAAATAATTTTAAAAAATTATATTTTTTTAGTTAAACAATACACATGGAAGTAAGTTGCATTGCAACAAATATTCCAACCTTAAAAAAGAATCTTATTCTAAATCTTGGAAAAGTGCCCCCCCCCCCCCTCACTGATGATTTGATGTAGAAACAGAAGCCATTTCAGGAATTCTTGATCTAATCTTGATACATTCAGAGGAACTTTTCACGCTAAAATTTCCCCCAGAACGAGTCCTAGAATCGCTTTTCTAGATTTTAAGGGACGAAAAGTATACCAGGTTAAACTAGAGGGTGAGTAAAAACTGGAGAATATATTAACCCTGAGAAAATTTTAAACTGGTTTTCTGACATGAAATAAGTCAATAATATCAGTTGTTCTAAACCCATATTGAAATATATCCAAACCATTTAATTGGCCTGGTCTGGTAGATAGATGGATAGATAGTTGGATAAATGGATGAATAGATGACGGAAGAAAAATGGAAGATTTGATAGACATTTGAATGGAAGAGCTGAAAAATATGGATGAAAAATGGAAAGATGAATATCATATCATGGATGAATGCAAGGATGGATAGCTGCAGAAGGCTATGATGGGAAGATGGATGGATGGATAAAAGGCATGGTTTGATGAATGAGTGAATGAAGTGTATTAGACATTCTGATAGAAGTTTCAGCCTTTGAAGTTATATGCAGGAATATATATATTCGTGTTCTAACACTCACACACACACACACTCACACACATACCTCTATCATCTTGCCTATCACAGTTCCTCTGGGGGAGGACTAGAGGATTTCTTTTGATCTTTTATAGATGAAAGTAAGGAGAGAGGAGGAATGGAAATTCTACCAGATGAAATTATAATTTGTATTTTAAACATTTCACAAGGTTCAAACCTTTTGCAACACATAGACACATACAGATATATATTAGATAAAATAACAGAAAATAATAGCTGTACAGATACTAGGTAGCATACAGATTCTAGACAGACAGAGACAGACAAACATATTAAAGACACAAAGACAAGTTAAGACTAAATGGACAGATTCAAATATTGAAAAGAAAAAAATAGAATTTACAACAACAAAAAAGAAAGATTCACGAACAGATATGAGACACCGGCTTGTGTGTCTTTATTCTTTGTAAAAACAAACCTAACAGACGTACATGTCTTTTTATCCCACCCCCCTCT